AATTTTTGGGGGTTCTTGTATGAATTTTGCTCCCGTTTTGGCGGGTCTTTTCACACAGAAGACACGAAAACACCAGGTGGTGGCGTTTGCTGTTTTTCCAAAGTTTATGAGTTCATGTTTTCCCGAAAACCGGGTGTTCGTCTATTAGTCAACGAACCTTTTGGAAGTATCTGAACAGAAAAATAAAACTCGCTGGGCAGTTTGCTTTACTGGGGTACTTTAGTGACTGTTGACAGCTCGAAAAGTTTTGGGTTGTTAAGATAAATTGGTTTTGCAGAAAGATGAGACAAAATTTGGCGTATATTACCAGCAGCTGGCTGAGTTTTTGTGCTCTTTTCAGGGGTCAAATGACCCCAGTTTCACGGAAAGGAAAGAATTGGTTTTCCCCCTGCAGATAGAGTGTCAACTTTTGTCGTCTTGGTTTTTTATCCCAGTTCTGGGAGTCATCTTTTCTCTCTTCTTCCCGAATTTTAGTTTTGGCAATTTATCACCCCTTTTGTCTTGAGACACCCCAGTTCTGGGGTTATCTCTGTTTTGTTTTGGCGCATTTTCCGTCTCGGGATTTTTGGGTTTAGTATTGCCCGGGTTTTTGGGGAACCATTTTTTCCTTTTGCGCTTTTGTCTTTTTCGCCGCATCCCGAGATGCGGCGATTAAATTTCAAGTCAATGCCTCCCTTTTTGCGGCATTGTCCTTTGATGCCAAAAATAAATTTCGTACAGATACTGGATTTCTTGGTTTTCAGCCCCAGGGGATGGACACATTCTTCTGTAATCAACAAAATCTGTGCTCCGGTATCCAGAAGAGCATGAATGGTAGCCTTAGATGGAATTGTTTTTAATTGGGCTGTCTCAAGAAAGGAGTTATGGATGGATGTTCTGGCCACTGATACGCTCACTTCCGATAGTCATGCAGTTGGGGCCTTGTCCTCTGCTTTATTTTCTTGCTGTGTTTTCTGGGGAGGCGCTGCCTCTTTTGGCTGGGCCAGGGATTGTTTGAGATCCTTGAGTTCTTTTTGTAACCCCTGTTCCATTTTATAGTCCTGTTTCCCGTTTCCACTGTGGGAGTTTCTAGATGGATCAGGGCAGATTGAGGTGTGATGTTTCCTCCCGCAATTACGGCATCTTCCCCCAGAGCAACATTCCCTTACTCCATGATTGACGGAGAGACACTTGAAACATAAGGAATTCTTTATAACGCCCTTATTGCAAGCTTCCAAATTCATCCCGCAAGCTGTTGGAAAGTGGCCTTTCTCACAGAATGGACATTTTCTATCTTGACCCATAATTCCTTGAGGCTGGTCTTGATTGCCTTCTCTGGGGTGTCTTCCGTTCCCTTTAGAATAGTGGGAGGGGTTGCCCCCAAACCCTCCTTTTTCTGGTTTTTCTTCCTTCTCATAGTTCTCCCTTTTGCTCTGTTTTGCATTGACATTGTATGCTAGCGTTTGTGGTCCAGAGAAAATTCTTTCCCTGTCCGCCCAATTTTTCAAAGTCATTCTAATCCACCAGTACTTTTGTTTGGGATCCTCACCCCATTTCTTTGTTTCCTTGTTCAAGGCAAGGGATAGGATATTATTGATCATCATGTTCTTGGTCATGTTTGATTTGACAAAGGGCCATACCCAAGCATCAATTTCCTTGATATTTCTGACTATTCCTCTAAGTTTTGTTATGATTTGGCAGACTTTGTTCATGAACTCAAGGTATCCCTGCAGGGATTTGTCGGGAGATGGAATTGCTTCCAATTCCCAATATAAGTTCTGTGCTGTCTGCGTGATGTTTCCATATTTGTCAAAGAGTATCTTTACCAGCTTTATGTAGGCCTTTTCCTCATCTCTTCCCTTGAAGGGTTAGGTCAATGCCCTAGCTTGTCCCCTGAAGAGGAGGAGAAGAAGGGAAATTCTTGTTGCTGCCTGAATCTGATTTTTTGGGGCTTTGTGTATGGCCCTGAACTTGTTCCACACTCTTAGAAAGCTATCTTTGGGAGTTTTGTCTCCTTCAAATTTTTGAAAGTTTGTTGATTGCACTCTTTTCTGTTAGCAAGATATGAAGTCCTCAGGGTTCAGGAGACTCTTTCCAGCTCCATACCTGGCAATTTCTGCTTTGTAAGTTACATTTGATGTTTGAATCTTAGCAGTCTGGAAATTTGTGGACAGAGCTGGTGCAGCTGTCTTTGTGGAGAGAGTACGGAATTGAACTCTCAATGTCTCCTTAAAAACTGGTCTCTCAAAGATCCATCCATTATTCAAATCAACTTCAGACCATCCGCTTATTTTGTTTAAATGGTCACAAATTTCCTTCAAGTTATTTCTCTTGCCGGCTTCAATGGGGACCTGATGTGCTCCAAGGAGCAAAACATGAATTGCTCTCATATCGTTCCAGAGTCTGAGGATATTTTCATCCAAGAGATTATGGACTCCCAGGTCCATTCTCAGGACCAAGTTGCTTAACTTCAATAATTTTGCTTTAAGGTATTCTGTATCTGGGACTTCTGATGGTCCTTCCAGTTCAGAATAATCCATCAATTCTGCCAGTGGTGGAAGCAGCTTTGCCGTATTTACTAACCTCATTATCCTGGCCTGTCTGGTTACTGGATTGGTTAAGGGAGGTCTCCCTAGTCTTTTCTGGGCTGTTCTGGGGGTTTGCCTTACTGGGGTTCGAGGTACCCAAAACGTTGTCTCCCCAATGCTGTTGGATTCTTTGGCTTCTGACTGAGCTGGGGTGTTGGGTTGGACGCTTGTCCTTGCCTGAGTGAGGATCCCAGATCTCCCTCTAGCACCTCCATAGCCTCTTGCATTCATTCTTCTTTTATTCCTCTTTTTAACTTTTATTTTTTGTGGGAAAAACCACACTCTGCTACAACTTTTTGTGCCAAATCGAATGTTGCACCCCAACTATTTTATAAGTGAGAGGTTTTGAGACAGGTCTGTGCTTGGAGGATTGAAACTTGGCAATTTGTTGGTGAGCAACTGACCTGAGGGATCCAAAGAGATCCCAAAATAAGCGCACGTTGTATTTTTGTCTTCACACATAAATGTTGAGAATCCGCAAGTGGAACAAGAAAGGCAAAATCCCGCAGAGTATTTTTTAGCTCTCGCAAAGTAAAAAATGGCACACAAAAATTTGTAAGAGGTTTTTTCCAACAACAAGACATTTGTCCAACATGGTCTTTGCCTCAAAGAAGTCTGATGATTTTTGGGATTTTCCAGTCCCATTTATACCTACGGAAAATAATTGGCAAGGTGTGCCGATGTTAAGCAGCGGTGGGGGTTGCTGCAAGGGTCTAATGAGGAGGTTAATAAATTGCTAGGTTTTCTTCCAGAGATGGGAGTTTTTTCCTGTTTTCATTGGCAACATCTGGCCAGTCAGGCGCAGTTTCCCACAAAGCGGGAGGCTTTGTGCTTTTTTAACAAAGATCTGGAGAGGAATCGCTTCCTTTCTGAGTTTTGTTCCCACCCGTTAGGGTTTGTTTTCATTTTTTTGAGAGGGTGATTTCTCTTTGCACGCATTTTTCTGAGTCGGGTTTTATGGCCCAGTTCAAAAGTTTGTTTTATGACCCCCAGCAACAGTTGATTTATTGCTGTCGCTGGTTTTTGGCAGTTGCGCGGTCCATTGTGCCCGCGCAGAATTGTCATAACCGTTGTTTCCCCCCTTTTGTTTCTTACACAGATCTTGCAACCGCACTTACTCCTCTGACTCCATACTGCAAGCATTACAAACAGGTCAACCAATCATTTCTTAAACAAAAACATCTCCTCCATGATACATACCTGGTAGATATCATGCAGAAGATCTTTGGTGAGGTGGGTAAAATTTAATGCTGGAAAGACGTCATCACCGCCACCACCACCAACACAAGTCATAAAGGATTTGTCCCTGACTCTCCAGGGACAAATTAACAAATCACCAAACAGCCCAACCTGGGGTATGCTGGGATGTCCCTTGTTCTTTTCTCCATGACAGGGACATTGGTTGTGGTAATAATTAAGGTCCTGCACTGCAGTACCCAGCGTTGGCATGTATTGAACCCAAAACTTTGCAACCAAGTTTTCTGTGATCCTCATCCGCTCTCCAACATTTGTGATGTATGCTTTCAGGTCTTCAGGATTGTACTCCCACCAGCCGTGCACCCGTTGTCCTGTTTCAAACCATAACACATGTACAAACATTTCTCAAAACACAAAATTTTCTTTGCACTCACAAAAAGAGGAGAAAATCTTCATGAGTGGAGCCCCAGTTCCTAGTTTTGGAGCCACAGCATCTTCCACAGGGGAACCTTCCTCCTGGTCCACCTCCATTACAGATGGTGCCCTGCTTGTTGATGATCCTGATTGAGCTTGCTCACCCATTTCACCGCATTTCTGTAGAACTGCTTGCAAAGTGGCCATGCTCACAGGATCTGGTCCAGGAGAAACGGCTGCAGGCAGAGCAATGTTGCTCATGTCGAAATCCTTTAGCCAAAGGCAACATAGATCATCAATGCCTCCAAACAAAAAGACAGTGGTGGCGTCCCAGCAATGTCATATATTTTGACACATCCTATTTTTTCAAACAATTACAAACAATAAAAACAATCAACTGTGCCTATACACATTGTTCCAAGGGTATACATACCATCCATTTTGTTGCATCCTTGTGAGATGGGAAACATCAACCGTCCACCGTTAACAAACACGGAGCACAGGCAATTTGCATCAATTCCCATACAAGCTGCAAACGCCTCTCTCAAACATGCCTGGGATGCTGCCTTCAAGGCATAGCTTTGTCTGATTCTGCTCTTGGCAGCAGCAATTTGTTCTCAGGTGCCACAACACTTGGCATCCACAACCTTGACACGATGTTGCAGGGAAAGCAAACAGCCCTTGGCCAACTCCAATTCCTCTTCTTCTGCCTCAGCGTCCCTCTTGGCACCAAATCTGGTGACCTTGGCACATGCTGGAGTGTTGACGTCAGGAACAAAAAGATGAAGGTTGCGCCATTGATCCACGTCCAGTTGGGACAACATGGGCACCAAATCCTTGGCGCCCTTCGGCAATACTAGAATGCCAGCTCTGTTGATCCAACATTGTTTCAAGTTTGACAGTCTAGCCTCTGCTTCCTCCTTGAGAGGTCTGTTGTCTTCCTCTGACATGCCGCTGCTCAGCTCGGCGCACGCTACAACATCAAAATCAGGCAAAACAAAAAGTGTCAATAGTGTCTCATTTGGGGCACAAATATATTAATGTCTTACCTCTATCTATGTAGTCCACTTCACTCATTTCACTGAGATTCCGCTTCATTCAATACAAACAAACACTGAGATATGTGGACCAGTCAAAAAAACAAGAGTCAAACACTGTGCACATACTGATAAGGACCCAAAAATCCCTCTGTCATGTTATGCACACAATTCTGGTCATTACCAGAACAAGGAGAGGTCATTCCTCCCTTGAGTGGTCAAACAAAAAAATCAATTGAGCCGGGACCCAGGAAAACCGTTTTGGGTCCGCAGACTCGTCAAGGATGGGCCCATTTCAACTTTGTATGGACGCGTACCAACTAGTGGCCAGTTTACCCCACTGCAGACTTGAAAGTGGACACGTCCGCAGCAGACTCTAGTTGGACTAGTCCAAATCAGATGCGTCCAAGTTGCTTCTGCTGCAGATGCTATTGCCTTCAACTCTCACGCTGGTGGAGCAAGAATTCTTGCTTTGTGGGAGGAGCAAGAATTCTTGCTTTACCTTCCTCTGCCTCCCTCCCTCCCTCCCACAGAGGGAGCCAGACCTGCAGGAGGGTCTGGTTTCCTGTCATCTTAACTTTAACAATTTGCCAAAAACTTAATTCTTAACCAACTTTACTTTTCAAAGCTGTATAAAACGCGCCATGATGTTTGCTGTGTTTCACTTTTTAATTTTTAAAAAGCTCAAAAATTGACCAAGTTACAAGAAAAACTGCAAAACATTTTTTGAATTTTAGATAAATTGAGAAAAAAAATACTTTTCCATATGTAATTTTAACTTTTTGAGTTTTTGGCACTTCACAATGAAGAAAACATGTAAATTTGTAGAACATCCATGCAAATCCACCTTTAGAAAATAATTGAAATTGCCTGAATTGAAAAGAAATTATCACAAGCTGAAGTGAAAAATGGGAGGAATGTGAAAAGTTTNATGCAGATTATCACATCAACAGTTTTTGGAAGTAGGTAAAGACATCTTGAACCAAGAATTCTTTTGTCAATGGATTTTGGAATAAATCTAATTCACTTTTTCCCTTCATGTATATTAATACCTTCACTTTGAACATTTTAAAAATTAAATTCAATAAGGTCAAGACATCGCAAATTGAGATTTCTTGCTCCATGGGATTTTTTTCCAATAAAAGTGTCTATAGGAAGCATACCTAAAATTTTTAAAATATTTTTAAAGCTCATTTCTGTAGCTGCTCTGGAATGCTGGGCATAGGAAAAGAAGGTGCTCTGTTATGCATACACAAATGTATTTATCCCTCAGGCCTTACACGACTTCAACACCTTTGAAAATTTGTTGAGATATTTTTATTAAAATGCCATCAATTTTTCAAAAGAGCTATGGTCCCTTATCATCAAATTATATATGCATGAAAATGTTGCCCCGCATCCATTAAAAATCATAGAAAAATGCAGGTTAAAAAAAACCAATACAAAAATCAAGAAATCAGGCATCAATTCTATCTGAAAGAAGTTTCAATTACTATTAGTTAGTCATATTAGGTTACTATTAGGTTTATGAAACATAATTGACAAATTGAGTGAGAAAATCAACCTATATCATCTTTTAATGATCTTATTGATCTGATATATTTCATTATTTGATCAACTTTATCTGATTGTTCTGCTCTAAAATGTTATGTAGCAAATTTTGAACTAGATGAAGTTTTTTTTGTAAAAGTCTGTGGCAAGTGCTTCTGGTATGACATTACATACCTTCTGTGGCACGATGTCTTCTGCAAATTGATATTTCGAATCATTTTCGACCACTTTTTTCGATTTATTCCAGTGACATCTGCCACGAAATTTATTTATTTTTCTAAATGCACCAAGTACTTCATTTCAACAAACTACGCAATATAGTGGACCAGGTAAAAAAATTGATGAAAAGACTTCGAAAAGTGACAAGTGTTCAGAATTTGTCGTTTACTGAATATATTAAAACACCTGTAGGCCTGTTTTACGCAGTAAATTCGGGTATAAAAGCCTCCGAAAATTTGCACACGCTCTGATCACCACAAACAGTTGAACAGTTCATGAAGATGTTGGCCCAGGTTTTCCTCGTCGCATTTTTTCTGCATTCCACTTCTGCGGATGGGGTAAGTCTAGCTATTTTTTTTCGTTACATTTGCTCTGCTGGGAGAAATTAAAATTTCTTCATCCCATTATACAGGAAGTAAAACCCGTAACTGAGATTCCAGAGGTGGAGCACAAAAATAGCATCGTCAACTCTTTTCTTGACGCTTCGGCTGCGGATGATGTGAGTATCATTATTCAACTCTACGTGATTTTTTTTACCTAGAAAATATTGAAATTTCTACATTTGCATCGCACGAAATAAAACCCGTCTCCGAGATTCCAGAAGTTTAGACCAGAAATAGTTTTGTCAACGCTTGTTATGCACCTGACACGGCGAAACCAAACCAATCATGGCTCTAAATGATCAAGTCAACAGAAAACGTCCTGGATTTTACAATTTGGCAGATGCTGATGAACTCATGGAATTTCAACTGACTTTGAACGACTCCTTGAAAAATTAAAGTGAGATGACGTAATTTTTAATTTTGCATGCCATTTTTGATGACAATCCATGGCTTATTCTTATTTTTTTTGCAGAGTACAGCATGCAGTTCACGGATTGCCGTGAGTATTGTTCCTAGCTATTTATGAAGTTCATATATTTCCCCCTAAAACCTTTTCTTTTTTTGAAATAAAACCAATATTAATTCAAAGGTTGTTGATGTAGGTGGATTCCTTATACAATGAAATTCAAGAGACCAGAAAAAATTGTGCTAGAGATAATTTTTGCTGTACAGAACCCTTCCAGCATGGGAAAAGAATCCTATGGGTCAAAAGAATTATTATATGAAGAAAATTGTAGCAGATAATCTGGTTGTAGTAGAAGAAGTCCATCTGAATTTCCTATAAGTTGATATTTTTACAATAATGAACATCTTCTTAGTTTGTGGAAGGGAAAATGGTGGCAACAGGATTTTGGGGGGAACAGAGGTTCCCAACCAAGGATTTTACCCATGGGTTGTGAAATTCAGCAATGGATGTTCAGGAACTTTGGTCACTGACAGATGGGTTGTGACTACAGCCCATTGTATCAATGGGAAAGAAACCTTTTCTGAGGAAAAAGTTGCTCACAAAGCTAATTTTTAAAAGAGGCTAAATAATTTACAGAAGAAGCTTGAATTAAAGAATATATGAATTGATGGAATTCGCAATCAGCAAGGCGTTGGGTGGGACATAGAGAGGTCTCAGTACTGAAGTTGATATATTCAATTTTGTGTATGACAGAAACAGTTCAAAATCAGGACTGGGAAAGAGTTCAAGTTTTGCAGGGAAGTAAGGCTCAGGAATACACTTTGAATTCAAAAACCCAGGAAATCATGTTGAGCTGAGCTGATCTCCTCAGAAAAGCCAAGCAATCATAAAATATTGAAATATAAACAAACAACAAATTCAATTATTAGAACATGAAAAATTTACCTGTTACCATTAAATTTAAACTGACAGATGTCTGTTATGCAGATTTAATCTGTTCCGCAGGAGGGAAAACTGCCCCCAGAGGCAGTCTGTTGTTCAAAAATATGTTGTGAGGCAGGTATGCTGTGCAGGGGTCAACTTTTCAATCAAATACAATTTGCTCTATCAGTGTGTTAATCGTGAATCATATAGGCTTTCAGCATTAAATTTCTTCAGAATGTATAAAATTGATTAGCTTTTTGGAGGGGATATAATAAGATGTAAATCATTACTGTAAAGGTTGTACCTTGCAATTCAACCCCAATAAATTGCCAAACCAGGGTCAAATTGCAAAGAAGTTGAATTGCAAGACATAATTTTGTGAAATTAAAAAAATATCACGGCAAAAATGTAAAAAAATGGCCAAAGCAGGTTGAACTGTGGGACAATGGTCAAATTGTGAGTAAAACTCACTGCAAATTCTACCATTGAATTTTGGGATGATCAAATTGCAGGAGGTTGAATTGTGAGGTACTGTACCACTCTTGCACTTCTAAAACTGCCCACTTCTGAATATTGGATTGAATTTTACCAAAAACTTGGATGTGGAAAAGTCTTGCATTGCTTATTCTCACATTGGCAAAAATTATTGGAAAAAATCCATTCACAGGGCAATACATATATGAGATCAAATTTATTTTAAAATATAGAAAAAATAAATAGACCAAAAAAATCAAGCATTTTTTACTCCTATAGAAATAAAAAGGAGTTCACAGGGCAAAAAATGAGCACAATTTCTGAATGTAAACTCAGTACTAAGTTTATTGACAAATACTTTTAGACAATGAAAGGAAAACTGACTGCGGAAACGACAATTGAAAACCAGATCGCAAAGGCCCGCATCTCCCAGATCACTCGCATACAAAGGCGTGAAGCACATGACTCAGTGACACATCACAGAGGTGGTCAAGTCCACAATTGCTTGAGACAAAGAGCAGTTGAACAATCTCATGTATGGCTCAACTGTGAAGACATTTAACCCTTCTGTGGCTAAGTTGGACTTTTTTCGCAGATTTTTGTGGCACTCCAGAGTGGAATTTAAAAAAAAACCCAACAGTGTGTGCAGGGCAAAGTTGGGAAAAATCCTGGCATTTTTTAAATTTTCCACAGAAAAATTTCACCTGAAAATGAAAAAATGAAAGCTTCAAGGCTCCCTTTTTTTCCTTGGCCATGTGTTGTTTCCCCATTCACAGATTAAATTTAAGCTTGAAAGCCAGGAGCCCAGGTTAGAGGTCAATAAGGAAAAAGTCCGACTCAGGACTTTCCCAGCATTTCATTATCCCAGGAAAAATCCGACTTTGCCCTCCCCCACCTGGCAGGGGTTGCATAACCTTGTGCAAAAATATAATGGACCCCCATCAGGAAAAAGTCGGACTTTGCCCTGGGATGGAAAGGAGGCTGCAGCTGTCCATAGGGTTAAAGCACTGCTTGGATATGGTGAAGCGAAGGGGTCATTGGTAACTCCGTCGTATGTTATCATGTTAGCACGTTCATAAGCTTTCAAATTCAAGATGGGATCCAAGGAAATGGTGATCCAAGGCGAGTCAGAGGCTGAAATTTCCGCCGATTTTATATTGGTCGATTAGGGCTTGGAGAGATACTTCCTGATTTGAGTGACTGACTGCGAATTTGATTTCGAAAAAAAAATTATAGCAATTTGTTCCAATGAAAAATAAATTCTGCGAAAATCTGGTACTCTTACCTGAGCAAAGGACGCGAGCAGAAGAATTACTAAAAACATTTGCTTCAAAAACGAGAAAATCTGGGAATTCCAGATTTTCATCAAGATCTAGAAGCATTCTTAATACCTCGAATCTTTTTCCTGAATCATTCCAATTGATTTTCAAAATTTGAATGCCGATTGAGCTCTGGACTCGTTCCAATGTATTCACAGCAACGTCTGGATGATTTTCCGACCATCATGAACTAAATCTAGAAAAGTACTGTAAATTTTAATGCATAAGTGGAGGGCCACATTTTGTGGAATGGTCATGAAACCCTGTCAAAGAACAGAGGAATCCATGTCATGAATGATTTACTTCCACTCATGGTTAATTAGTAAGTGGAGCATTCCAAAGCACTGCGAAAGCTATTCATCAAACTCACAATCAATATGTTTCCCCCCGAAAATGGGTTGTTATTCATTTTTTTACAGTACTTGGCTTTGATCAAAGTGTCATTCATGCATCTGTTGTCAACATCATGAAAACTCTTTGCCAATTCAAGTTTTTCAGAACATCTCTATATAGATATGAACAGGAGTCTTGAGCCAATAATGAAAAAATGGTGCAGCCTTGACACAATTGAAAGTATGAAATTTTATCATGTGTACATATTTGATCATATTTTATGAGGAACATAACAAAATATAAATTGAATTGCATTTAATTGGAAGTCAAGCTTATTTTTTTTTTGCTTTTCAGCAGCCCCTCCCACTCCCCACCCACATTCATCCAAACACATTACTGTACATCAGAATGGAAAAAAGATAAATGCGCCTATCTATAGATATTAAAGTAAGAGAAAATAAATCTCAAATTTACAATTGTACCACTGAAGTAAATACAGACACTTTCTTCCTTTCCCTGATGACAAAAAAAATTTTCAGCATTGCAAATTACAGCATGATGCAATTACTGAACCCAAATTAAAGCACAAGGTGTTCAGCCTGCTTCCAGACGAGGTTGAGTTGATTGAACACTTTGGTTGGAGAGAATCTTTCATGAGAAATCATACAAGGATAGCGGTTTATCATGGTCCTGGACAATTTTGGAAAGATTCTCTTCATTGAATTCTTTATGTATTTTTGAAGCTCATTTCTGTAGCTGCTGTAGAATGCTGGGCATAAGAAAAGAAGGTGCTCTGTTATGCATCCACAAATGTATTTATCCCTCAGACCTTACACAACTTAGACACCTTTGAGAATTTGATGAATTTTTTATTAAAATGCCATGAATTTTTCAGAAGAGCTATGGTACCTTATCATCAAATTATATATGCAAGAAAATGTTGCCCTGCATCCATTAAAAATCATAGAAAAATGCAGGTTAAAAAAACAATAAAAATCAAGAAATCCGGCATCAATTCTAAATTTCTAACTGAAAGAAGTTTCAGTTTCTATCAGCAAGTCATATTAGGTTACTATTAGGTTTATGGAACATAATTGACGAATCGAGTGAGAAAATCAACCTAGATCATCTTTTAATGATCTTGATCTGATTTATTTCATTATTTGATCAAATTTATCTGATTGTTCTGCTCTAAAAATGTTATGTGGCAAATTTTGAACTAGATGAAGTTTTTTTTTTATAAACGTCTGTGGCAAGTGCTTCTGGTATGACATTACATACCTTCTTTGGCACGATGTCTTCTGCAAATTGATATTCTGAAACATTTTCGACCGCTTTTTTCGTATTATTCCAATGGCATCTGCCACGAAATTTTTTTTTTTTTGTAAATGCATCAAGTACTTCATTTCAACGAGCTACGAAATATAGTGGACCAGGTGAAAAAATGATGAACAGACTTCGAAGAGTACCATTTTTGATGACAATCCATGGGTTATTCTTTTTTTTTGCAGAGTACATGCAGTTCACGGATTGCCGTGAGTATTGTTCCTAGTTATTTATGAAGTTCATATATTTCCCCCTAAAACTTTTTTTTTAATGAAACCAATATTACTTCAAAGGTTCTTGATGTAGGTGGATTCCTTTTACAATGAAATTCAAGAGACCAGAAAAATGGGTTGTAAAGATAATTTTTTGTACAGGACCCTTCCAGCAGGTGTGGGAAGAATCCTTTGGGCCAAAAGAATTGTTATATGAAAAAAATTATTGCAGATAATCTGGTTGTAGTAGAAGGAGTCCATCTGAATTTTCTATAAGTAGATCATTGTTCACAGTTTTTACAAGAGTAAATATTTTCTTAGTTTGTGGAAGGGAAAATGGTGGCAACAGGATTTTGGGGGGAACAGAGGTTCCCAACCAAGGATTCTACCCATGGGTTGTGAAATTCAGCAATAGATGTGCAGGAACTTTGGTCAGTGACAGATGGGTTGTGACTGTAGCCCATTGCATCGCTAGGTAAGAAACCTTTGTGAGGAAAAAGTTGCTCACAAACCAGATTTTTAAAAGAGCTAAATAATTTACAGAACAAGCCTGAATAAATAATATATAAATTAATGGAATATGCAATCAGCTGGGCTTTGGCCTGGACTTGAGAAGTCTCAGTATTGAAGTTGTTATATTCAGTTGTATAACAAGAACAGTTGTATATCAAGACTGGGAGAGAGTTCAAGTTTTGCATATACAAAGTGAATGAATGAATGAACAGAACACTTTATTTGCCGCTTTTCAGCATTCACAAGGCACAACACCAGAGCACCTTCTCTTCTTATGTCCAGCATTTCATGTTGATAGAAATCAGCTTAAGAAAGATTTAAAATTACTGAAATTCAATGAAGAGACACTTTCTGAAATCTTAAAGGATCAAGATAAACTGTTGGCCTTATATGATTTCTCATCAAAGATTCTCTCTAAATTGTTTGTTCAACTAAACCTCATACAGAAGCAGGTAGAAGACCTTGTGCTTTAAATAAAATTTTACTGCTACTTTGTCTTCAATATCTAGGGATGGATGCATGCATGTTGGATGTCCAGTTTTATTTTGTGGAGTGTGTTCTCTTTTNCATGCATGTTGGATGTCCAGTTTTATTTTGTGGAGTGTGTTCTCTTTTGTTTTTGTCATCAGTTTGTGCTTTATTTCCTGCTTTGAAGTGATTGAATGTCTTTGGGGGGAGTTGGGTTGGGTGGGGAGGGGGTTGGGATGCAGGAGTCTTGCAAAGAAGTAAGGCTCAGGAATACACTTTGAATTCAAACACTCAGAAAATCATATTGAGCTGAGCTGATCTCCCGATAAAAGCCAAGCAATCATAAAATATTGAAATATTGTATGATAATATTCCTATGTTTCTAACAATAATCAATGCTCAAATTCTGGTAAAAGTAGTGTTACATAAAATGAATAAAATAGTATTGTCAGTTCTAGAGACAACTGAGGATTACAAATTTCATAACAATCAGCATTTAATTACTTGCAGAGATTTAAAAAAGAATCACAGTATTGACTGCAAAAATTCAAGCTTCACAAAAAAAAAATTCTGCAAGCTCTTTGATTTTAATTTCATGTTGATATCACCTCTCATTGACTGCAGATTAAGCCCTGGAAATGTTTGTTTTATGATCACTCGAATATTGCAAGTGGTTGAATATAAGGAGAGAGGTTCGGAATAAATCATGTGTCTCATGCTTTGCAATAGCTCCGAATTTTAGACTTAAGTAAGAAATGAAAAATAAATGCAATCAGGGATTACATCAGGCAAAGTCACTGAATAGATGACTGTAATTTTTTCTGGATCAATAATGTTAACTTTTCATGATCGAGATTATCCGAATTGGTCATCTTAATCATGAGTATAGCTTGTTTTTCTTAAATTTATTTTTAATAGCGATCATTTCCGCAAATTTATTTGGAAAATAAATCATTCGATCATTTTTCCAGCCTGAGTGCAGCTTCCCAGCTCTCGATGACCTTCAGGGAACACACGTTGGACTCGCCAAATGATCCTGGAGAATTCAGGGTTTCTGCAGCAGCCATTCTTTACTACAGTGGTCTCTATGATTCCGCCAAATTCAATTATGACTTTGCATTGGTTCAACTGGCTCTTCCTGTACCAATCACTGGTCTCTCAAACATCCGCCCAGTGTGTCTGGCTTCTCAGAGTTTCGATTTCAATGGCTACACTGGAATTCCCGTTGGATGGGGTTTCTACGGTTTGTCAATTACTTGCAGACTTTATTCATCATCCTGCATCAACAATATGTGTATTAGAGTCGCTTCCTATCGAAAGAAATACTCAATCGGAAACTAATAAAAGTCCTTAGAGGTTTTAAATGTATTTTAATCCGCAGATAAAATTTTGTCTCAAACATATGCCATAGAATTGTACCCACATTTTTTTTTTTTAGTTTCTGGAGTATAGCTTGGTATTTCATCGGAGGCCAATTTAAAACAGTCACTTGCCTTGAAAGGCTTCAAATCCCATCAGAAAATTGAATCAAATTTCAACTACCTTCTATATTCTGTATATATGGTATCTACTTGAGTACCATGCTCACATTTTTCCCCAGAAATGTATGCCAAAAAATTAAATGAGCACCTTATACACAGTTTTTGTGCAAATTTCTTGTAATGATCAAAGTAAAGGATCATTGTTTTAAATGTTGAAGAGCTACATGTGAAAACATTCCCAACCTTGAGAAGATTAAATCGTTTTCTACAGTCAACCCCTGCACAACAGACCTCCTGCACTATAGATTTTTGCAGAACAGACTGCCTCTAGATGAGGCAGTTTTTCCTCTCACATAACAGACAAATTCGCATAAAATACTTCTGTCTGTTGAAGTGCACACCACCTCCCTCATGTCCCCCTTACTTCCCAACTTGATTTGAATATAACATGTTTTTATTATTGCTGTGCTGAATGTGTGTGTTGTGTTTTTTAGTTCTGTGGGTTGCAATCTTGCTCGTTTTGTAAATGTTAACATATAGGAAAATCAAATTTGCACAGCAGATTTTTCACATAATGGACTGTTCTGTAGCAAAAACTGAGTCCTTTGTGTGGGGATTGACTTGCATGGCTTTTTCCAATCCCAATGTTTATTTGAGGCAAAAAAACGTATTCATGCAAATAAGAAATTCAGGAATATGCAATAACATAAATATGTTTATATAAGTAAAATACTGTGCATCCTTCAACTATATATTTTGCTGAAAAATTCAAATATTGTACCGAGATTGATTTAAAAATAGTCTGATTCAGGAAAAAGCTAGTTGTGGAGCTTAAAAAAAGAAGTTGAGACTGTTTGGGTGATTGCTACCTTTTTTACCAGCACAGGGGAATCAGCCTTGATTATTGCAAGCTTCTGAAAAAAATTTTGATAATGAAATTGACAGAAAATGGAGTTGGCAGAGAGGCCTCAGTTCTAAGGGAAACCACAGTCACCCTTTACAACAGGGTGGCTTGCTTGAATTCAGGCGGAGTTCCATCTTCAACGTCAATCTGCGGCTATGCCAAAGGAAGAGGACTTTGTATTGTGAGTTCTTCGCATATCTTAGGAAAACTAAATTTTTAGAAAACCAAACTTGCTTAACACTCTTTCAAAATTCAAAATTCTACAGAATTTCCTGCGACCTACATTCCTAAAGTTTTCGAGTTTCCGCAGGGAGATAACGGTGCCCCAATGACAGTGAAATCGGCAGGAAAGCATTACTTTGCCGGGGTCGCTGTTAATCTCCATTCGGGCACTGGACCGAACACTTGCGACACGAATAGACCCCATTACTACACACAGGCGACGTGTAAGAAAAGATCAGCCATCTAAAATAATGCAATTATACTGAATACGAAAACTGACTTCCTTTGGAAAATCTTTGAAAAAAAATTGTCATGAGCTTGATTGATAATGCTTTTTTATTTTTTCTCCTCCAGTTTTCACCGACGTCATAACTCAATACGCTTGGGTCTTCGGAAACTATTGCAGCTATTGATCGATGAGACGATTCTTCCTCAATACCAAGCACCATTTAATCCCGGCTCTGAAACAATAAAGAATTCTTTCTGCATCTGAAATCATTCATCTATTTACTTTTGCACCTCACTAACGTGAACAGGAACTTTAAAAGGAATCACCAGCACAGGAAATAACTGGAAAGACCAAGAACCCAGGACACTGGTCAACCAAAAGGCATCCAATTTTGCTTAGAAACAGATTGGAAATGGAAGGTTAACCAAAAGCAAAATCAGAGACAGTCTATTTCATGTCCGAGCTTTTTTGAGTCAACAATCCCTGGAAAAAAAAACAGCAGCCTTCAAAATCATGTCGTCCTTGAAAATGAGGCGTGCATTTCCTACATGATATCAATTATGTTTCTTCAAGGGCTTAGATTAGGCCAATTAAGGTTTTACTAATACTGTAGTTTGAAATACAGTATTCAAAGAAGCATAAACAACCTGACAGAAACAAAGGAGTTGCAAAAAATCTGAGATAAACATCCTGAAACCAAAATACCGTATTTACTTGAGTACCACGTGCCCTCCAGTAAGGGTTTTTCAGCTGGAAATTTTGCAAAAATCTTATCCCCGAGTAAGACATGCACCCCATTTTTTAGTGAATCAAAAACCACAAAATTTTGAAAATAGAAAAAAAATTTGACGTTAGACATGAATTGAACAAAAATCTGATCAATTTTCAACTTTTTCAGTAGAAACAAATTTTCTTGGTACATTTGTTCCTAATTTCTCCATTATAATTATGTATAATTCACACCTAACTTCTTGAAAAATTTGTACCCGCTTATGACGCACACCCCTTTTTTTCTTCTGAAATTTGAGAAAAAAGGTGCACATGGTACTTGAGTAAATACGGTAGGTCATATTCAAAAACAACAGTACAGTAGTTCAGATCCAAGTACAGTATCTTTATCCTTCAGGCGACACCTATGTTTCCGCAAAGAAAATCGGTCAGGAACTCGTTCCGTTTTGACGTGAGAATAGAACGCCTGAAATTGAATACTGTTCTGTTTTGTACATTTGTACAGTATTTTCACTATTCATCAAATGCGGAGATGTCGTACATCATTTCCATGCTTAGAAAAATTGTGTCTGAGTAGCTGCAATTTTCCTTATTTTCATCAGCAATCTCTTGCTTGCTTTGAATCTGCTGGGGGAATTGGAAAGCAAGAGAGACACACTAGTAATTTTGGCATGATAACTGACATCTGTTACACATGCAAACAGAACCAATGACGGTGATTATTACATCTCAAAGTAGGTGTCGCGTTTCATGAAAATCAGGATTTTTTTTAGCCTTTGGCAAAATTTCATCAATCCGAAGTACTGCACTTGAACAAGTGCAATATCACCTTCGATTTGATAGATTAAAATGTAATAGCATAGTATTTTCAGAGTTTAAGAGAGTCCTTCTTCAGGTTTTTTTTTTCAGCAAAACGTTTTTGGCATAAATTCGGAAAAGAAAATCGGAATTGTCGAAACCCAGGAAATATTGCTGAGATTATTTTATTTTTGCTCCTTGCACACATTTGTTCAAAAATATCCTG